CCGGCGCGCCGCCGCCCGCCCCGGTCGGCCCCGCCGGCCTGAAGAGCCAGGGCAACGAGCTGTTCAAGAGCGGGCAGTTCGCCGAGGCGGCCGTCCGGTACTCGGCGGCGATAGCGCAGCTGGAGCCTGCAGGTGAGGGAGCTCCACCGCGGGAGAGGCGCAGGCACTTCCTGAATGACAGGCGTTTGCGTCTGTACATTCCTTCCTGGTGACCCAGCGCGGTGTGACCTGATCGCCGGGAGCAGTCCCTGGAATGCGTAGCATGTGCCCGGGCGAGGCAGGTTTGGTGTGTCCCTTACGGGCTTTCCCTGTGGCCAGTGCGGGCACAGCCAGCTGCTCGGAGCTCTGCATTATCAGCAGTCTGTAGGACTGCGGTGCCCCTGGAGACCTCTGTTGTCATCTCATTCTGGTGAACTGTGATTTTGCTAATGGATTTTAACTGTGTTTAATTAAATGTGATTTTAGGAAGTGGAAGTGCAGATGATCTAAGTGTCTTATATTCAAATAGAGCAGCGTGTTACCTGAAAGAAGGAAACTGCAGTGGATGTATTCAAGATTGTAACAGGTAAACTGCCCGTGTTCAGGTTTGTCGAGAGATTATCATTTCAGTGTGATGAGTGCAGCATTTAATATCCTTCTAAATTTTCTGCATAAGAGTCTAATTTCTTAAGACAGTTTTAAGGTATGTGAATTGATTAATACATAAAAATCATAAATTCTGTTTCACATATGAAGACAGTTATAGAAGATTGTGCACACTCCTTTCATTTCCACTGCTGCTACATTAGTGCATGCTTTCTTCATAGCAATCCTAGACTCCTGGAGAAGCCTTCTACCTACTCTCTTTGCCTCCTCCAGTCCACTGTAGCATCAGAATAACTTTTCCTGAAGCATTATTTTGTCCAGACTGTTTCAAACAGGTGTTCAGTGGCTCAGTATGGTCTTCCAAACAATTATGAACTCCTCTGTCACCGCGTTGCCCCCAAAACAAGCTTTCTGCTCCCATTTGGTCCACTGTCTGTAATGCCGTCTGTACATCTTTGCTTCTGAAATCCCTGCTCAGCTGCTCTCTCCTGTCTTCCTGGTCACCTCAGGTCCCTGGTCATTGGCACGTCTATAATGCTTGCACTGTCACTGTCACACCTGTAGGTACTTGTGTCATCCACTGCATCAGATTGTAAGCTCTTTGAGGTCAGGAACCATGTTTTACACAGGTTTGCATCCCACAAGCACGGCAGTCACCCATGGTACTCAACAAGTTACATGCTGAGATGGATGAATATATTTACATGAGTAAAAAGTATTGTGTTCTTTAACCATTAAGTAATAAGCCTGCTTCAGGAGCCCTTTGGAAAGAAGCTTTTATTAGTGCATCTACAAAATAAGAAGTCGTATGTCCTGGTTTGACCTTCACAGTCTTGGTTTACTCCTCTTGTCTGGTATAATTATTAATATCACCCCTTTTCACTCTCTGAAGCCCTAGTTTGGACACTAACTTATGTGGACACCCTGATTATAAGGTGAACAATTTATTATTTTTTTCATTGGTCGTATCAGTTTACCCATCTGGGTAAAAACTTGCTAGTATCTGTGTGTGTACAGTCTAAAAAGAATGCCTTGAGGTGCTTGGATTTTTTGCGAATTTTACGTATTCAAATTTAAAATAAATAATATTTATATTCACTTTGGCCTGTCTTTAGATCCCATCCACTGTTGCGCTAGCTCACACTAGCTAAGTGTTACATTTTCAGGATTTCGTGAGCTGGTTGAAGTCAAGCTGGTAGTTTGAGATCTGCTGTGGTTGGAGTACTAATACCATGAAAATTGGCAAATGCCACAAATCTGGGCTTTTTTCCCAGGAGAGCTGGTTGTTAAACATTTACCACTGCCCATAACTAACAAATAAGACCATGTGAATTTGCAGAATATCAGGCACGTTGTGATTTGCGGCCAAGAAAATTTCAGCTCAAGTGTCTGTTGCTAATACGTTACCCTTCCGACTTGTCTTACGTCTTCTTATAGTGAGCAAGTTCAGAACTCTTTAGTTAAAACTTGGGACCCCTACAGTTAGGGGCTACTTAAAACAGTGGACTCACTTTGTCTTTCAGTGAGATCATTTAAGGTGGCAGACATTTTCTTGCTAAAATGTGTTGTGTTTCAGTGTGGGCCCAGGAGGCAGTCAACGATGGTACTCCAGCCCTGGTGTCTAGGGAGGCTAGAATGGAGGTTTATCCTGGGGGAGAGCAGGAGATGGCCTGCGGGGGGAGGGAGGTGGGCGGTGCTTTAAGTAAGGTGTCTTGAGATAAGAGCTGTGTTCTAGGCTGAGAAATCTGGCTCTGCTGGTTCGTACTGACCTCCCTAGAGATCGGCCTACCTAGGTGTTTTATTTGGTCCCTGGCATTTGAGTCCCAGCGTAAGGGGCCTGAGATGATTTTACTCCAAAACGGTGATTCTCAGTCTCATTTTAATGCCAAAGAAACCATGATTTGCTTTTGTGAACATGTTGAAATATGGATATGTTTAAATCTGTATGAACTAGGAATCATTTATTAGCAGAAATATGACTGTGTTTCTCTTTACCTCAAAAAGATTGCATACATTTTAAAGGAAGCCTGTTTTTTAGGTTTTCAGTTCATTATCTTTGCTCCTTGGAGAGTTGTTTTGTGTTCCAGGAGCCCTTATTACAAGACAAGTGGTAGCAGGAGTCAAACATCAAAAAAGAAAAACTCATGGGGGCAAAATTTTAAATAAGGGGGAGGTGGGAACCTATGAAATAACCATGCATTGTGGGGGAAAAGTATTTGATTTTTAGTGTCTGAACTCCCGGGACCCACGCTGAAGCACTCCTGAGAGGTTTCCCAGGGGCATGTCAAGAGAGAGTCGCTGCTGGGCGGGTAGTGTTTGAGGAGCTCCAGGGGCTCCGCCCTGCCCCTTTCCTCACCACAGGCTTCCAGGTGGAATGTGGAACAGGGTTATGATGCCTAAGCAAAAGTTTAAAACCATTATTCTAGAAATTACTTCTTATTCTCTCATAATTATCAGCTAAAAAAAATCTTCACTTTTCCCATCTGTCAGAGAACCTTTTTAGGTTAACTAAACCACACGGAAAATCTTTCAGTGACTTTCCACTGAGGATATTTTGACAGACTCAATACGAATGAATGTTGCCTAGTAATTCTCTGGTCTTGCTCGTCTTTGCTGCTCTCTGACAGACTTGAAATTAGAAGACTCTCTAGGGTCTTAACTGTGTTAACTTGAATAGTTAAACTTTTCTAAACTCTGGTTTAACAGTTCTCTCTGTTTGTTTGTTTTTATGAATAGATGCTTTTTTTTTCCTAGTGGAATTTCCATTTATAAGCTCATATTCGTTTTCAGGATTGTCGTTAAAGAGAAAAAGCCTTGCATATACTAGTCAGGGGTGCTAAAAATTATATGCATCATCCCAATTTTAGATTCCACACCTTTCTCAGGGCCATCTTGAGTGGATAAATAGTGTCTTGGTCAGTGGAAGTCTGGTGAAATGGGGGTAGTCATGTGGCTGTGAAGTATTTATATATTTACAATTTCTAATTTCTGTTCGTGTTATTAATATCCGCTAAGCATTAAACTAAGCTAGATTTAAGGCAATGGTACAGGTGATAGATCCTGTTGCCCAGAGATCTGTTTTCTAATGTTTTAAGTGTTTTTACTTGATTTTAATTTTATTTTTTAAATAACTTTTACTAGTACAAAAGTAACACATAGCTATTATAGAAAAAATTTTAAAACCCAGGACAGCACAAAGGAGGTCATTAAAATCACCCATAATCGTAACACCTAGGCAGAGCAAAATTGGTTCTTTTTCAGAGAGATGAAGCTTATTAGGTTTAATGACATTTGTAGAACAACTTCAGATTTCAGGAGCACACCCACACATGGAGTTGAGTATCTGTACAATGTGGAGAATTGTGGAGGAGTTTGAGTGGCAGATGACTCCAATCCCCTTATTTGTAGTGTTTTTGTGTGTGTTTGTGGTAGAAAGAGTGTGGGCTCTGAGGGTTCATTCCGGAGGTGCTTGCTGAGTGCCTCTCATGGCCCCAGCGTTGATCTAGGCACTGGGAATGTAGTGGTACTCAGGATAGGCAATGCCCTTGCCTTTTTGAAGCTTAAATTCAAAAGAACTGACATGTGGGCAGAGTGCTCCATGTGTCTCTCCATTTCTTCACCTGCAAAATGAACGTATTAATATTTACCTTTCAGACTTGTTGTGAGATTAGATGAGAAAGTCTACAGTGGCTAGCACATAGCAAATGTTCTATCAGAGCTTCCTCCTTGCCAGGTCACTGTAGACAGGAATAGATAGCAGATCTCTAAGACTATTGGAAAAAAGTAAAGCAAAGCAGCCCTCACTCATGCTTTCCTGCAGCAAGTTAAGTATCTGATATGTAAGCTGCTTGTAGCATCGAGTTAACCGGAAAGCAAACCTGCAGTCCCCAGTGTGGAGAGAGTGCTGCGGATCTCGTTAGTGGGTTACACGGAAAGCAGGCTCTTCATAGCATCTCTGCACAAAGTCCTTCTGTGCAGTTTCAGTTCATTTTGTTAAAACTAAGAGTACAATAGTTTTCATTCGTAAATTTGGTCTTTTGATTGTATGCTTTATTTCAGAATACAATGAAGTACATTAAGTAGTGAAGTAGCTTTAAACAGTTACTTCAAACAAAATCAAGGAACATAACCTTGGAATATATCTCTAGTGATATTGGAAATACTTCATAAACTAAATAGTGCAAGATGAAAATTCATGACTTACAAGAAATCATTGTATGCTTGCTTCCTTGATTCCCTCTGGTCTATTTTTGAAGACTTTTGGCAGCAAGTAAATCATGATAAACTATATTAAGTTTAAGAAAGCTGATTTTCAAAATGTAATGCAAGTTTTTGTGGTTCTGTGCTAAGGTGCTTTATTAAATATGTTGTTAGTGCTGTTGAGTCAGTTCCGACTCCTAGCGATCCTGTGTACAGCAGAGCAGAATGTTGCCCAGTCTTTTTCCCCATCCTCTCACCTTCTGGCGGTATATCTGACAATGCTCCACTGCTATTCATAGGGTTTTCATGGCCAATTTTTTCAGAAGTGTGTGGCCAGGTCCTTCTTCCTAGTTTTAGTCTGGAAGCTCCACTGAAACCTGTCCACCATGGGTGACACTACTGGTATTTGAAATACTGGTGGCATAGCTTTCAGTATCATGGCAACACTCAGCCACCGCAGTAAGACAGCAACAGACGGGTGGTCATTCCTGACTGGGGAATGAACCCGGGCCACCAAGGTGAGAGCGCCGAATCTTGACCACTAGACCACCAGGGCTGGCTATTAAACACATAAGTGCAAATAAAAATTTTCTTTTTAATCTGTCAATAACAAGAATCTGTTGAAAGCCTACTCTGTGCCTGGTGCCGTGGCAAGCTCTGTGCCGGCCTTGAGGAGGGTGAGGCGCAATGCCTGCTGCTGGGAGCTCGGGCTCAGTGGGGGAAGTAAATCGTGAGTGCTTTGGTGCCGGTCTAAAAGAAAGGGAGTGACTGCAGGTTTGATTGCTCTGCTACTCTGGGTTTGCCTTTCTGGTATGTTGCCAGGTCTCCACGATGAAATATCAGATATGTATGTTTTGGGGAGTCCAGTACTATAGTTAGTATAAGTGAAAGACTTATTTGTAAATCAAATGACGTGTAATATTTTTGTCTTCTTTAGGGCTCTGGAACTTCATCCCTTCTCAATCAAACCTCTTCTTCGACGAGCAATGGCCTATGAAACTTTAGAGCAGTATCAGAAAGCTTATGTGGATTATAAAACAGTGTTGCAAATAGACTGCGGAATCCAGCTAGCAAATGACAGTGTTAACAGGTAACTTAATCTGAGGCAGCTACCTGAGGTCTAGTTGTTTTATAATGTAATTCGATTTTTTTTCTTCCCCTCCTTCAAGAATGATGTCGAAGTGTAGACGTGTTCTCAGTTATTTACTTTATATGAATGATTGCCTTCTTTCACTCCATCAAAACCAAATGGTTCTCTCTCTCTAGCTTAATTTCTAACTGTCTCATAATACATTTTGAGTTGTCCTCTAACACCTTTATGTTTGTTTCCGGGTCCATTTATTACTGTTCAGTGAATATTCTTTTTTTTTTTTTAATAGCACAGGGAATAGCTCTTTTGTGCTGCTCAAAATGCACAGAATTTAATTTTACTATTTGTAAATATCTGTGGAGTTAGGAAGGTTGGTTTTCAGAGATGTCATACATCAGTAGTAATTCTAGGACAAGATCCAAAAATATAGTGAAAACTGCCATGTTGAATCTTCTTCTCCTACAGGATTTGCAGATGTTCATTGGCTCCACATCTGTCAGTGGAAACATATCTGTTGTTTCTCCTCAGGAGAATGGATGTCTTCATGAGCCTGCTAGATATTTGTGTTATATGCCCTTTAAATAGATACTCATCTAGTATGAGTATTAATTTATAATGCTGAAATAGCAAAGAATTTGGATCTAATTTATATTATAACCTATTTACCCCCTGAGTGAGAATGGGAAGGTAAGAATTTCCAGACTTCATAAATTGCTTTCAGGTGAAATTTGAAAATTACTAGTTGGATAACATTTCTAGTAATGTATAGTATTTTCTGATCCTATTCATCCAAAGTATAACTTCTTAAGTATTTGTGTGTTACGCTGTGCCCTGTGTTGGTCTACTGTACCATGCCCCACTACCGCCAAAAAGACAATAAGGGAAAAAATGGCATAGTCTCTGTCTTTAAGCAGACTAGAATATAGCTAGGGGAAAAACTGAACATAAGACAGATTATCCCCAAGTGTGAGTCTGTCAGTAAGGTAGGGGAGCACAGAGAGGTCAGGCTGCCTTTCTCTGTGTGGGCTGCAGTTGTTGCAGAGAGAGCACTTGAGGTGGTCTTTGAAAGGCACAGACAGAACATGAGGAAACCGTGAGCAAAACTGTAGAAAATGAGAATGGCATGTTTCGTATTAATTCATTTTTTAAAATCATGCCTTACCTCCCACGTGGTCCCACTGCACTTTGGAGAAAACTGTTGGAAAGATCTGGATGTGGAGCCGGCAGCCGTTCCCTGGAGCTTCCTCTCTGGTCACATAGAACCTGTCTGACTCCAGCCTGACTGGAAGAAAGGGATATATGTTGGTTATTGGATCTTGAGTGGGACTAGGTCAAACCTCCTTGATCTCAAGCTTATAAAGTCAGGCAGTGTCACCTGGGAGCTGTCCTGCTGCATAGTCCCCTACTGCATGTCATCTGCTGCCTCCTCATATGTGCCTAAAGGCCCTTTCCCCCTTTTTGTCTGGTTAATTCCTTCTCATTCTTTAGGAGAGGACTTGCTTCCCCTAGGAAACGACTTTCCTGATCCACCCATCTCCCCCCACCAAACATGCACTTTAGGCTCCTTTCCTCGGTGCCCCCAGAACCCTGTGCCTTCTTTTATTACCAGCCGCCATATTGTTTGTAAATTCTCTGTCCCTCTCTTTTTGTAAAATCCTTTTTCTCTCATTCTACTAGGAGTTCCTTGAGGTCAGGAGTTGTGTTTTATCCATCTTTGTAGTTGCAGTACCTTGTACAGTAGATAACCTCAGTAAAAATGTGTTGAATGAGTACATTCTCCAGCAGAGAGAGCAGAGTTCACTCCTGGGCTTTGGAGCTCTGCTTTTAATTTGTCCCTCTGTCTGGTAGTCTCCAAGATAGTTGGGGAAAGTAGGATCTTTTCACAGAGTTAGGGGTTCTCGTGAAAACACCTGAAATATCTGACCGAGAGGAGGGGCCTGTTGTAAAGATATTTTAGGAAATCTAGTTCATAGTGATAAATTGAGTGGTCTGAAGGGAGAAATATGTGTCTGAGAAACTCCAATTACTAACATTTCTGAACCCTCTGCATTGCACTTTTTTAAAAAATTGAAGTAAAATTCACATAACGTAAAATTAACTATTTTAAAGTGTGCAATTTAGTGGCCCTTAGTACAGTCACAATATTGTGCAACCACCACCTCTATCTAGTTCTAAACATTTCATCACTTCAAAAGGGAACTCTGTCCGCATTAAGCAGTCACTCCTCATCCTCCCTTCTCTCAGCCTCTGGCAACTACTAATCTGCTTTCTGTCTCTATCATTTACCTATTCTGGATAGTTCATATAAATGGAGTCATAGAATATGTATCTTTTGTGTCTGGCTTCTTTCACTTAGCATAACGTTTTCAGGGTTCATCCATGGTGTAGCATGTGTGAGTACTTCATTTCTTTTTATGGCTGAGTAATATTCCACTGTATGTGTATACCACATTTTGTTTATCCATTCATCTGTTGGTGGACACTTTCCAACTTTTGGCTGTTGTGAATAGTCCTGCTCTGAGTATTGGTGTACAAGTTTTTGTTTGCATACCTGTTTTCAGTTCCTTTTGGTGTTTACCTAGGAGTGGAATTGCTGGGTCATATGGTAATTCTATGTTTAGCTTTTTGAGGATTGTATTATACTTTTTATATGTACCCAAGAAGGTTCTTTTATACAAATCAACTTTTAAGACTCATTCATTTTTTTAATTGAATGGTTCTTGCTGATACATCATTTTATAAGAAGATGAGGAGGCTTTGTCTGGTTTTGCCTTCTGTATTTTTCTATAAAATATCCATTTTTAAAATTTCACTATTCCTTTTCATGAATCCCATATTTATGCTTGCTTTTCCATCTAAGAAACAGCGGCTCTTTTTTTTTTTTCTTTTTAAACTTAAACATCTGTGTTTATTTTGCTTTTGTCTTCCATTAACCATTTTCCTCTCTTCCTCTCCAGGAATCTTATATGTTAAATTTCCCTGCATATACTTATTTACTCCCTGGCAACACATCATCTCTTTTCAGCTGCTTCTTCCTTCCTCTCTGCTGGTAATACAGGTTTTGCTTGAAAATTCTTTTTTCTAAAGCTTCTTTTTCTTCTACAGTTGTGGGTGGTTATACATTATTTTTCAAATTTATTTTTTTTACAGTAAAATATACGAGATTTGGTTATCATAATCAAAGATTACTCTTGAAATTTCAGTTTAAGAAACTGTAGGGAAAGTATGTGTATTACATTTGACTCTATATAAATAATAAAAATTTTCCACACAAAAAGTACTACTGAGTTAACTAACTTGAATGCATTCTACTAGTTACCAATAAACCTTCTCAGTCTTGGGGATCACCTTTTTTAAACCAGATTCATCCCAAAGACATAATTCAATTTTGTTTTTAAATCTAAGTATGATATTTTGTATGTTTAAAATACTGAGAAAGTGATAATTGGGGGTGTTAATCTGAATTTTATGATGGCCCTTAGTACATGTCATTAATGCAGGGGCCTTCATAGTAGACTCCAATATCCTGTTCTTTCATCTGTATGCATGTGAAAACAAAATAAGTGGAATTTTAGAGATGAAAAAAAACACAAGGTAAGAGTATCTTAACCACATGTAAGTGTTTTAAGACAAAGCAATATTCCACGTGACAGCTAGCCCTCATCAGTTAGCAGCCAGTCGTGTACACTTGTCTTAAGTGTACAGTTTGGGCATAGAAATTCTAATGTACTTCTGATTATTCTCAAGAGTAATACATTATCAATTTAGTAATTATATAAAACGTTATGTGGGACATTTCTTCTAGGCCTCCTAAATTGTAGTTTTATATTTCACTTTTTCAAAAATTAAAATTTTATTGCATATACATTAAAAAAATTTTTTAAACCAATTAGAAATGTCTCAATTTTTTCTTCTGATACAGAAAGGATCTAAACCTACATCATTTTTGGTAACTTTTAAAAGTCCATTTGAAGACAGTTTATGTGGACAGCAAATAGTTCAAGATTGTATTTTCTTCAGGAAAGTACAGAGGCTGTGCTTTTGTAAGTCTTACTCTTGATGTGACTTTCCGTAGTATAAAAAGCAAACTGCATGATCCATAAGAGAAAACTTACTTTCTTTTTAGAATAACACGAATTTTAATGGATCTGGATGGACCACACTGGCGGGAGAAGCTGTCACCCATTCCTGCTGTGCCCACTGCCGCGCAACAGCGAGCTTGGCAGCCTGCAGCAGAGACCCCCCCAGACCAAGTGGGAGATTCCTGCAGCCATCACCAGCTGGGCGTCACAGGTCGGGGAAGCTACACTCATTTCTTCTGAGGGTTGTCTTGAGCCGTGCGGATATTTTCACAGGAAAGCAGAAAGAGAAGAGCATGAACTCAGGTGTCAGACCTGGGTTTAAGTTAAGACCCTGTTCTTCCTCTTTCTAACTGTGGAGTCTTAAAAGTTGCTTCATACCTCCAGTCTCCTAGTCTATATGAAAGGGGGAAATAGGAACAACCATCTCATGGAGTTGTTCTCAGGAATAAATGGAGATATGCATATAAAATACTTAGCACGTGTACTGACTGTAAGCTTATAGTAGCCTGTTAAAGGTTAAGTTAGCATTATTATTCAGAAGAAGAAGAAAAAGAATTAAGTAGCATGTAGTTCTCTCCTACACCATGTATGTGGCAAGGCTAAAGTAATAAGATTGATGTGTTTGAAATAATAAAATAAAACTCTATAATGTAAATATCTAGCAGGTACTTCCTTCTGCCTTATATCCTAGTTGTTAACATATCTGCATTCCCAGTGCCTCCCTCATTACTTTGTGCAGAATGTTTAATAAGTGTGACTTCACTCTTGCTTTCTGCTTTAAAGCCAGATGAGGCCCCATTTCCCCTGCCTGCTTGGGAACTCCATGTGTGTCCCCAGATTGAGCTTCATCTTGCAGACACTCTGAGGTTCCTGAGCCATGATGTGCCAATGGCTGGTGTTAGACCCTCATCCTCTTCATAGCCTAGAACGATGCAGGGAACATCTGCCAAGGCTTTTAGATGATTTAGCAGTCCTAGGAAAATCATGGAAATCTCTAGTTTTCTAGGGTCCATTATTAATGGAGCCTGGCATGAAGCATTTGCTCAATAAAGGGTAGCTATTTATTATTAACAGAATACGTATACTAACCATACTGTAGATATGTGACAGCAAATTATAAGCACAAGTGTAATCAGCACTTTCTGTTCATATTTGTGTACTGATTATTAGGGAGAATGGAAACCAAAAGCTTAAAAACATTGGGGGAAGAAGAGCTTGAGGAAAATTTTTCAGCAAATTGAGGGGAAAAAAATCCTCTGTAATATTCTATTTTAGGGCTTATATATACCAGGATTTATGGGGAGAGTCATTTGGCCCCGTCGTGTGAGATCCTTTGAAACATGAAACATTAGGCAGAAATATTCTGTGATTTGAAATAAAAAGTGAAAAATTAACTAATATTTGTGCCATTCGTGCAGAGGGACAAATAAGATTATCGTTTACATTCCATGTTTATACTATGAATTCAGTACATCTATCAAGATTTTTAGATTGCAGAATTTAAAGGTATATTTTAAATTTTAAGTTATGGATTTTTATTGTATAGCAAGTTACTCTCTAGGGTAAAGTTATTACATAGATTCAAAATTTTAAATTTTAACACATTATATGTGTTAGAAAACTTTGATTAGAAGTCACAGAAATTCTGTTGACTTAAACTGTGAGGAATGGTTTTGGCTCATGTAACTGCAAGGCCTCAGGTAGGCTCTGAAATCAGCACGGCTCATCCGGGCTCAGGCTCTGGCTGGAAACAGTAGAACCATAGCAGTGTCAGCCTTCAGGTCTGCACATATCAGTGTCCACAGGGAGAGAGACACCCTTGCTTTCCATGGCATTAATTTAAGAATGAGGAAATACGTTGCCCTGAAGCCATAGCTTTGTTCTCCTGTTACTCTATTGTCTTGAATTCTATTGGTACTTACTCTCATTATCCTAATGGGTCATGTGCCCATTCCTGAGCCAATCCCTATAATGAAGAAATGCCATGCCCTGATCAGTGGGGTCAGCTTCCCCTGAACACATCAGCTGAATTGGAGAGGGGTGATAGCTGAATGAATGTCGAGGTACCCTTAGGAAGGGGGAGATGGATCCTGAGCTGGGAGTCGGCCATGGTCACTGCAAGATAATAGGTAATGGTAATAGTTGGGACTCTCTGATTGCAGATAACAGAAAACCCAACCCTTAATGGCTTAAGCAAAAAAGGTTGTTTAATGGCTTCTGTTGTGTAAAAATCCACAGGTGGCGTAGCTGCAGGGATGGCTGGATTCAGGACTCAGAGATTCTTCCTTAGGTCTTCATGTTGGCCTCTCTCTTGCTCTGTTGGCCCCCTTCTCAGACAGACTCTTCCCTTGTATCACAGGATGGCACAGTAGCTCTCCCTTCACCCTCATATTCCACAGGAAGGAGCAAGAATTACTTTACCAGAAGCTGCCACAAAATCTTATTGTAGCTCATTGACTCTCATAGGCCCATCCAAGACCAATTAGATTATTGTGGCCAAGAGAATATAATGTGCTGATTCATAAAAAAAAGATTACCCCAAAACGCAGGGCTAGAGTGGGGTTCACTTTACCTAAACCACAGGAGCAGAGAGTGGAGGTGTGATTTTCCAAGGAAATTTGGGGTGCTGTACAGATGTCTGCTTCAGGCTTTAACAGGTGTGTTTGTTCATTTTTCGCGGAATAGTTATTAAACCAAACACTGTAGATATTTGTTTCTCCAGCAGAGAAAACAAGGCATACCAATATGGATAAAATGATAGCATTACTTGTATTTTATTTTCTAATTTGCAAAAATAGTGTCATAATTGTATAATTGTTTTTACTGATAGCCAGTTTATCTTTTTGTGTATAAAATTTTGTTCCATTTAGATTTTAGCTCTGCATGGTCAAGTTAATTTGCAATAGAAGTTTTATTTACAGACATACTTAAGATTTTCTAGAGGTAGTTATATGAATACTTCCTCTTTTTTCTTTTTTGGATCCCATAGATGAAAAAATGTTTAAAGCTCTTAAAGAAGAAGGAAATCAATGTGTTAAGGACAAAAACTATAAAGATGCCCTTAGTAAATACAGTGAATGCTTAAAGATTAACAACAAGGAATGTGCCATTTATACAAACAGGCAAGTTCTTTGTAACTTTATATATTTATGTTAATATTTTTTATTAAAAAATATAGATGAATTAATTGCCAAGGTTTTTTTCTATGGTTCTGAGAATTTACATAGCAAATTGTTCTAGGTGAGTGTTTTTCAAAGAGGTGGGGAGAGATTGCAAACCTGAGGTGTGGTGGGCTGGGAGGCCTGATGTGGTCAGTGTTGTGGGTTCCTGCAGGCGGCCACCATCGCTTCCTTGGCTGGTGCTGCTCTGACACTTCCGGGCCGTCTGGCCTCGCCGCAGCTGGCTAGGCCTGAGCATTGTCCTCTTGGTAGGAGCAGGAATCACTTGCCTGTCAAATTAGTGTTTTAAGTGCTCGTTTCCTCTTGAAGTGCTAAGGGAAGGGACCACCATCTTTTAGTGTGCAGTAGGAATGGGCAGATTGTTCTAGAGTGCCACGCACATTACCACATTGTGTTAAAAAGGTAGTTCTCTAGAATATGGTGATTTGGGGATTTCTGGGGATTAGGTAGTCTGGGGTGACAGGAAGGAATAAGTTATAGTTCCTAAGGAGTAGGGACTCACAGCAAGAGTTTTCCTAGCTATTTCAGATGAATTGTTTCTAACTTAGCCTCTCACCACTTTGTTTTTGTACATGTTTGCCTCTGTTGGCAACCTTTTTGCCAGAAATTTTGTCACTAAATCCAGTGGGTACTTTTCTACCCTTCTCCTGTTCAGCCTCTGAGGTACTGGGCGTTAATGGCCCCTCGGCTTTCCCCGGAGCCCGCCTCTCCCCTGGCTGCTGTGGCGCCAGCTCGCTGGCTGGCTCTCCTCTTCTCCCTCCACGGGCCTTCCTTTCCCTGGTGTTCCCCGGATTCTGAGGGTGTAGATCCCTTTTCTGCTCTGTATGCTCTCTGGGCCATTGTGTCCTCTCCCCGGCTCCGTTTACCCCCTTTCAGTGACGTCCCTCACATCTGTCTCGGGAGCTCCGGATCTGAGCGCTCCCCTCCCTCTGCCCTCCAGATGGGTCATCATCCCTGACCGCCGCCTCCCTCCCCCGTCTGTCACGGCTCCCACGTCCCACCTTCTCCATTCCTCCTCAGCCTTGCTCTCCACCTGCACCGTCAGCCCCCGCTCCGGGCCACCGCCGTCCCTTCCTAGATGTCTGCAGCACCCTCCAGCGTCCCCGCGCAGTCTCGTTCTCTCTTGTCTCATCCTCCAAGTAGCAGCTAGAGTGATCTTTCTTAAACGTAAACATGTCAGCCGCTGTTTAAAAACCCCTCAGTGGGGGCCGGCCCGGTGGCGCAAGCGGTTAAGTGCGAGAGCTTTGCTTTGGCGGCCCGGGGTTCGCCGGTTCGGACCCCGGGCGCGCACTGATGCACCGCTTGTTAAGCCATGCTGTGGCGGCGTCCCATATAAAGTGGAGGAAGATGGGCAGGGATGTTAGCCCAGGGCTAATCTTCCTCAGCAAAAAAGAGGAGGATTGGCAGATGTTAGCTCAGGGCCGATCTTCCTCACAAAAAATAATTAATAAGTAAAAAAATAAATGTATTTAAAAAAAAAACACCCTCAGTGGACTTCCCTTAAGTTCAGGATAAAGCTCAGCCTCCTTGCTGTGGTTCACAAGGCCCTTCATGATCTGACCTGCCCACTCTTCCAGCCTCATCCCTGCACTCCAGCACTTTTCTTAGTCCATCGAGAGCACCGTGTTCTCACTCACTGTAGGACTTTGCAAATGCTGTTCTGTTGGCCTCCACTCTCTCCTCCCTACATCTTAATTCTCAGCTCAGTGCCTTCCTATTGGATAATTCTTACTTCATACTCTGAGCTTCAACTTAAATGTCGAAGTCTTCCCTGACCACTCCTCCCCTGGCCTCAGCCCCACCAGATCTGATGAGATGCTCAGCTGTGTGCTCCTAGAACATCCTGTGCAGATTTTATTGTGTTGCTTGTTTTAATTGTCTGTCTCTTTGGCTAGACTGCAGCCTCCTTGGGGGCTAGTTCTGTATTTTGTTTGTGGTTGTATCCTTAGTGCCGTAACTACACGTATTGCAAGAAAATGCCATAATTGGAGTAAAATGTTAGGTTTAAATCGAAACAACTATGGTATAGAAACAGACTTGTTGAGTTATTTTCTGATTTTTGTTAGCTGTCTAGATTTACAGGTATGTTGTCCTTACCTTTTGTAAAACTGAGTTCCATTACATTACACCAGAGCTCTCTGTTACTTGAAGCTGGGCCAGTTTGAAGAGGCAAAGCAGGACTGTGATCAGGCGCTCCAGATAGACAACAGGAATGTGAAAGCGTGCTACAGACGAGCTCTTGCTCATAAAGGACTCAAGGTGAGGAAATCCTCGTTTTAATCTGTAAATTGGTTTTCATGGACATAAATCTCGGGGTCATGGAATGGGAATGAGATTATCCTGGAATTTAATCCTAGTTCTGTACTAATCAGTCCTAAACTTTGGAATAGGCCTCTTATTTCCCCTAACCATAATGTGGAGCTAGATGATTTCTAAGGTTCTTTTCAGCTCAAAAATTATGATTTATTTCCTGATTTTCTAAGGAGTGTTGTTAGTTATAATAGGTCCACTTTAAGGGACAGGAAGGTTTGTTGCTTAATTACTGAAGGCCACCACCAGTGCCAGTGGATTCCTCCAGCAAAGGATTGGGGTTGTCTGTTGGGTGGGAAGAAGGCATCAGAATGGAAGATGGGCTCACCTGTGGAACTTGGTAGAGGCGTATCAGAGATGGGGAAGCTCGTGGTGATTAGGGCCTTAAACTGGCTGGTGGTCGGTGTGAGACTGTAGCATGGCATTCTTCTCTGAGGAAACTACCTTATTATTTTCAAGGAAAGCGTCGTATAAGTATGCTTTTCTTTATGCTGATTCTTCTGCATGGGAAACTTGAATGAATGTTCACTTTTGTAGAAAATAACATCACAAGGAAAAATCAGAACATACCGGGAAATGGCATTTCTTGAAATGGTATTTTTTAAAAATCAATTTAAGTTCTAAATGAACGATGAAACTCACACATTGTAAGTGTGCAGGTCATTGACTTTTTTTTCTCTTCAAAGGTTTTTTTTTAATTGCGATATAATCGACATATAACATTATATTAGTTTCAGGTGTACAACATAATGATTCGATATATGTGTATATTGCAAAATGATCACCACAGTGTATGTAGTTAACGTCTGTCACCATACATAGTTACAAAGTTTTTTTCTTGTGATGAAAACTTTTAAGATCTACTCTCTTAGCAACTTTCAAACATACAATACAGTATTGGTAATTGTAGTCACCATGCTGCACAGTACATCCCCAAGACTTATTTATTTTATAACTGGAAGTTTGCACCTTTTGATCCTGTTTACCCATTTCCCCCACCCCACACCTCCTGCCTCACCATCGGCAACCACCAGTCTGTTCTCTGTATCTGTTTGGTTTTTTGTTTTTTTTTTTTTTAAATATAAGTGAGATCATATGGTAATTGTCTTTCTCTGTCTGACTTAGCCTCAAGGTCCATCCGTGTTACCACAAATGGCAGGATTTCCTTCTTTTCGTGGCTGAATAATATTCCATTGTGTATATATATACCACATTTTCTTTATCCATTCATTCATCAGTGGACACTTAGGCTGTTTCCGTGTCTTGACTATTGTAAATAATGCAGCAGTGAACATGGGGGTGCATATACCTTTTTGAGTTAGTGTTTTTGTTTTCTCCAGATAAATACTCAGAAGTGGAATTGTTGGATTATATGGTAGTTCTAGTTTTAACTCTTTGAGGAATCTCCATACTGCTTTTCATGCTGGCTGCACTAATTTACATTCCCACCAACAGTGCACAACAGGTCCCTTTTCTCCACATTCTCGCCAAGACTTGTCTCTTGTCTTTTTGATGATAGCCATTCTAACAGGTGTGAGGTGATAACTCGTCGTTTTGATTTGCATTTCCCTGATGATTAGTGATGTTGAGCATCTTTTCATGTACCTGTTGGCCTTATGTATGTCGTCTTTGGAAAAATGCCTATTCAGGTCCTCTGCCCATTTTTAATTGGATTGTTTGGGTTTTTTGCTATTGAGTTGTATGAGTTCTTTTTATATTTTGGATAGTAACCCCTTATCAGATATATGAGTTGCAAATATTTTTTCCCATTCGGTAGGTTGCCTTTTCATTTTGTTGATGATTTCCTTTGCTGTGCAGAAGCGTTTTAGTTTGATGTAGTCTCACTTGTTTATTTTTGTTTTTGTTGCCTTTGCTTTTGGTGTCAAATCCAAAAAATCATTGGCAAGACCAAAGTCAAGGAGCTTACCACCTGTGTGTTCTTCTAAAAGTTTTATAGTTTCAGATCTTACATTCAAGTCTTTAATCAATTTTGAGTTGGTTTTTGCGAATGGTGTGAGATAGTGGTCTGGTTTCATTCTTTTGCATGTGGCTGTTCCGTTTTCCTAGCACCATTTATTGAAGAGACTGTCTTTTCCTCATTGAGAATTTTTGGCTCCTTTGTCATAAAATAATTGGCCACATATGTGTTGGTTTATTTCTTGGCTCTCTATTCTATTTCACTGATCTATGTGTCTGTTTTATACCAGTACTATACTGTGTTTTTTTTTTTTTTAAAGATTTTATTTATTTATTTTTTCCCCCCAAAGCCCCAGTAGATAGTTGCATGTCATAGCTGCACATCCTTCTAGTTGCTGTATGTGGGACGCAGCCTCAGCATGGCCGGAGAAGTGGTGCGTCGCTGCACACCCAGGATCCGAACCCGGGCCGCCAGCAGCGGAGTGCATGCACTTAACCGCTAAGCCACCGGGCCGGCCCAGTACTATACTGTTTTGATTACTGTAGCTTTGTAATACAGTTTGAAATCAGGAAGTGTGATGCCTCCAGCTTTGTTCTTCTTTTTTAAGATTGCTTTGGCTATTTAGGATGTTTTGTGGTTCCATACCAATTTGGGGATTGTTTGTTCTGTTTCTGTGAAAAATACCATTGAAATTTTGATAGGGATTGCATTGAATCTGTAGATTGCTTTGGGTAGTATGGACATTTTAACAATATTAATTCTTCCTATCCATGATCATGGAACATCTTTGCATTTATTTATGTCTTCTTCAGTTTCTTTCTTCAGTGTCTTATAATTTTCAGTGAACAGATCTTTCACCTCCTTGGTTAAATTGATCCGAGGTATTTTATTCTTTTTGATGCAATTGTAAGTGGGATTGTTTTCTTAATTTGGTCATTAACTTTTGAGTAATGTGTATCCCCATGTAGCCACCACCCCAATCAAGATAAAGAACATTTTTGTCTCTCCAGAAAATTCCCCATGCCTGTTGCCCTTAATCTCCCTCCTTCCACCCCCACCCCCAGGCACCACTCATCTAATTCCTATCACTGTAAATTAGTTTTGCTTCTTTTTGACATAAACATAATTATAATCATATAGAATGTACTCTTTGGCTTCTCTTGCTTAGCATAGCATCTCAGATTCATCCATATCATGTGAATATCAGGAATTATTCCTTTTTATTGCTGAGTTGTATGAGTATACACAATGTGTTTTATGTATTCCCCAGTTAATGACATTTAGGTGTTTCCAGTTTGGGGCTGTTATGAATAAGCTGCTATGACATTCTTGTGCACATTTTTTAAGGACTTGTTCACAGACTGGTACAGCTGGATGCCCTGGTGGGTGGGAGTGGGGGATGGAGGGAGATGGTCAGATCCTGAGGTGCCTGGGAGGCCATCCTGTGGAGGCTAGGCTTGATCCTGAAGGGGATGGGAGCCCCCAAAGGGTGATAAAGGGTGGCATGATGGATCAGATTTGGGAACAACGTAGAAGGTGGATCAGAGGAGGGTCCCGCATGGCGTAGGGAGATAGGTGAGAAGCAGATGCCTGAAGGAAGGTAATGGCGGAGGGAAGAGAGAAGGTGTATTAGTTTGCTAGGACTGCTCTAACAAAGTACCACAGATGCTGGCTTAAACAGCAGAAATTTATTTTCTCATGGTTCTGAAGGCTAGAAATCTGAGATTTGGGTGTTGGAAGGTTCCTTCTGAGGGCTGTGAGGGGATGTGTTCCAGGCCCCTCTCCTTGGCTTATAGATGGCTTTCTCCTCCCTGTCTTCACTTCGACTTCCCTCTGTACATGTCTGTGTCCAAATTTCTTCTTTTTATGAGGACATCAGCCATACTGGGTTAGGGCCCACTCGCATTTCAACTTGATTACCTCTTTAAAGAACTTATCTCCAAATATGGTTACATTCTGAAGTACTGTGGGTTAGGACTTCATCATACAAATTTTCAGGGGGACACAATTCAGCCCATACAGAATGTGAGGGATTAAATGAAGGTTGTTTGAAGGTCAAGTTGACAGGACATCCTGAGCAGTAAAATATATGGGGGAAGAAAGGAAGGGGGTGCCTCCCTGGTTGCTGGCTCGGGTAACTGAGTGGTGCAGTCTGATAATGGAGGGTATACAGGAGGAGGGGGAGGTTTGAGCAGGGAGAGGGATAGTTTGGTTTTGACCTTATTGAATTTGAGATAGTTCTTCTAATTATGCCCATCACTGACAGGGAAATACCTGAAAATATATTATGTAAAACCTAAGTTTTGTTGGGAGAGGGCGGTCATGTTTTTGCGTAGTATATCAAATCAGTACGATCTACGTGCATTGACTAATCAGGCTTTTCTAGATCCTACATCCACTCAGGTTGCAGTAGAGCCAACCTGTACAGATGCTGTGATACGACCCCTATGCCAGTGGAGCCATGCTGCTGCCCACCCTCCCTCCCTCTTTCCTGTCCCAGTTTGTTATAAAGGATATTGATGAATAGCCAGGTCCATAGGCGAGGTCCAGAAGGGTCTCGAGTGCAGGAGTTCTGTCTCCACAGAACTGGCATGCACCACCCTCCCGGCATGTGGATGTGTTCACCAACCCGGAAGCCCCACAGCTGTGCTATATTTACAGTGCCCGTGTGACCCAACCCTCCCCCACTTTTTTTGTTAGCAACACACTCATTTGTAAACCTCACGTAAAGATTTCCTAGAAGGTGTGTGGCAGCATGAATGACAAGAGGCTTCTTCAAATTTTACTCATCTCTTTTTGAGCTTAATGGGTTTGGATACATGAGGGTAGATCTGCATGGCTCATAAGTTTATACATGTCCAGACTCTTAGAGCAGGTTTACCTCCTGCTGGCTGCCTGACTCTTTGAACTTGTTTACCTGACTAAAAGGCAGAAGGTGTACCTAAGGAAAGACCAGGATTTTATGCTTCCTTGGAATGAATTCTAGAAATTGTATTATGATGCAGAAAAATAATCCCCAATTTGAGTAATCCTATCCCACTAAATTATGAGGCTGGCAGCTTGGTTTGTTGGTTTGACTTCTTACAGCTTGATTTAAGTATCCTGTAATTTGAGTTATGTGCCAAGTGAATTTAATTTCAGGATCTTCAAAGGCTACAACTGCCTATAAAACACATCGGAACTTGCGGCTGGATCTGCTTCCTCTGTCACGAGGAAGTGGCACAGGGGCTGCAGTGGCAGGTGAACACTCTGCTTTCTCGGATCTTTTGTTTGTTTTCTAACTGATTTTAATCCTTTTTTCCTGTGTACCAGTTTTGAAAAATAACAGGGCTTTCCTTAATGTACAGCTGTTCTTCACAAGAAAGGATAACTGAACATTTTGCTTTTACTTACAATTTATTTCTTTTATTGAGTGGCACTTATGTGCTAGGCTTTGGGAGCATAGAGGTGAATAAGACATGGTGCCTGCCTTAAGGAATTTACAGCCGACTAAGGTTGCTGCAAGGCCAAGAATATCAAAGGGTAATATCTTATAAAATAATTGTTGGGGCCGGCCCAGTGGCATAGTGGTTAAGTTCACGCACTCTGCTTCAGCGGCCCCTGGGTTCACAGGTTTGGATCCTGGGTGCGCACCGACGCACCACTTGTGAAGCCATGCTGTGGCAGTGTCCCATATAAAGTGGAGGAAGATGGGCATGGATGTTAGCCCAGGGCTGATCTTCCTCAATAATTGTTATAGTTTAAGCACATCTATTAATGGTAAATGTTATCGCAAACACATGTAATTATACTTTTTTTTTTTAAGGCCTAATAAGGTCATTAGTAACTTTTAATGTCCTCCTTTTTTCTAAAGCCACCTTTTCTCTTTCCATCAGCTCTGCTCTTGCCTCCACTCTGCATGGCTGCTTTCTCTGCAGGTCTTGTGTTGTTTGACAGCTGTATCAAAAGGAGACTCCTTTCCCCGCAACCCTGGGTTTTCTTAATTGCATTAATGACAGTCCATGCTCATTTTCTCGTTTGTTTGTTTTCTTATTGTTTCCCTTCATGGGGCCAGGGGCCCATGGCTGTCCTTTCTCGCACGGTGTGCCTAGCTCCCAGCACGGCGATGTGTTCAGTGGCCGTCAGTCACGTGCATGACCCTTGCCTGACCACTCTGTGGGATCCGGCACACTGGCCCCTCCTCTTCCGCTGCCTTCCTGTTGATGCTGTCCCCACCCTTCCTGCTGTCCTGCCTTCTCTTCACACTTGCCTCCCTCTGCTCTAACACTTACAAAGTGTGCTTCCTGTTTTCCTAGGTCTCCTGCAAGCACACAGATTGCTCTTTAGGCACAGACTTGTCTTGAATGGATGAAAAAACTCACATCGACTCCTGTGTTGTTGAACTTCCATTTCCAAGGCTGTAGCTCACAAATTTCTATTTTCAGCCCTCTTACTTGAGCTTCACAACTATTACCATTCACCCTTCTGGTCATTGCTGCCTTGATCATCGCAGAGATTCTCTCTATGCCTCAATTTCCCTATCTTTAATGGGGACAATAAAAGTATTTAGAGTGCTATTGTGAGAGTAAAGTAATAATACTCGCAGAATGCTGAGAATGGTAAGAGTGAGTTAGCTATGATGACTCCCTCACCTTGCCCTGCTGCCTCACTTCCTTTCAGTATGGTTCCCCGCCTGGAACACTTAGAATGGAAATACACTTAGAATGGAAATACAATGTCATGTGTTTTTCTGTAGCAGGTTCCATCTGTGCTGTTGTGACACAGTGGTATGTGGAGATTTGTTACTAGTAGTCCATAATGTACTATAGTTTGTAAATAATTTACCTTTTTAAAATAAATTAGAGCAGATTTAAGGTTTAAACACATCACTCTTGTTCTGGTGTGTTGCTGGGTAGGGAGGGAAGGGATGTAGCATTATAGCTAGTCCCCCAGGAATGTCACATAACCACTAGCTTAGCTTACCTGGGCCTCAGCCTCCAGTGCCTGCTGTCATTGAGTGTCATGAATCCTTAGAGAGGTTACACATCATGGGAATTCTTTGCCTTCTCACAGAATTAATTTTGGTTTAATCAAACATGGGTCTAGTCTTTAGTTGTAGAATATGGCCTGTCACAGCACACTGAGATTTTGTGCATCTGTTTCTGCTAGCAGATTCTGTCCTGTGTTTTGTTAAGCTTAGGTTCCTTTTGTGTCCCCTCAGCCTCTCCAGTGTACTGTCCGACTCTTTATGGAAGAATAAATGTTGACTCGAGCCTATTACTGTATAGCACTTTGAAGGGTTTTATGGAGCAAGATATTATGGTAACAGCTAACATTTGCATACTCTTTTATAGGTTTAAGCCACTCATATATTATTAATTCATTTATTACTTGGTACAGCCTTGTAAAAAGTAGAATAGAGAAGCTCTTGTTATCTTTATTTAAAGATGAGAAAACTGAAGCTCAGAAAGGTTAAGTATGATCTTGTTCAAGTTTCACTGCACTACAGGTGTGGAGAATGTTCATTTATTCATTTAGCAAGACGACAGATGCCTACCATGTGTTAGGGACTGTGAAAGTTGTGGTGAAACAGAATTGAGCTTGAGTCTTCTAACTCCAGATTCTGTGCTCTTTCTTCTATGGAGGATGTTTGCTGTGTTACGGGTTATCGTATTTTAGCCCAAGACTCCCCTCGTAGGCCTCGCTTTATCACCGTGGTGCTAATGGGAAGCGCTGCACACACTCTGCACTACTCAGCTCAGCATTGGCGCTCCCACCCTGGCTCAGCTGTGCCAGGGTGGGAATTGTTATTCATGGAAATTATTTTCTCTGCCTTTCTACTTTCAGAATTATCAGAAAAGTTTAAACGATTTCAATAAAGTTCTCCTGTTAGACTCAAGTATTATTGAGGCAAAGCTGGAACTGGAAGAGGTAACCAGATCCCTTAATATTGAGGATAATACAGCGTCATCCAGCAGAGAAAAAGAGAGAAGGAAAATTGAGATTCAAGAGGTATTTGTATTTGATTATCTCTGAAATTACTCTCTTGGGAATTTTATATTGGATTCTAAGGTCATATCCTATGAGTTCTGCAAAAAAAGTTTAAATTTTGTGTTTTTATTCTGATAATCAGTGAAGAAATTTTAACCAATTATGAAGACAGAACTTTTCCTTTGCCGTGATAATCAGCCATTGTGTTCCCAGCTTGGGTCCATGGACAGTATTGGGAGTCTGAGGTTCTTTTTTTCTCCTCTCCCTCCCCCTTTCTGGCCTGTGGTTTGTATTGCTTCCATTCCAGATCGCTCTGGGAGCCTGTGGCCATTGAGCTTGGCTTCAGGGTAGACCTGGAGAATCCTGACAGGACTGACTCAGTTTCAGTGGCCTTGCAAGCCACACCTCATAGAGATTTTCCAGATTGACTCAGACCTTTTTAGCACTCTGAAACGAGATTGGCCTCATCAGAGATCTTAGACTATCCCAGAATCAAACCTGCCTTTGTGATTTCACATAACTTAATGTCTTGTGCTGTAGCTTTTTGCTTTGCCTTTAGTGAAGAATGTTAGCTCGTGAATTCCTGTGTATTCATGAAGGCTAATATCATCCCAGTTATCGTCTTACATTTCCACTAAGAGTAAGAGGCTAATATGTGAGAGAAGCTAGGAAGCTTTTTCCCTATAAGGAGGGAAGAAAAAACTATTTTTAGGGAACTGAAAAATGTAAGTTCACTTCTCTGTTAAATGTAAGGAAATAAGTAAATGTAAAATTCATCATGAAAAAGAGATAAAGTTGTTCTAGGTCTTCTTTTATACAGCAGCTTTATTCATGGAAAATTATTTAAAAATTTTGTCACATTTTCAATGTCAAAACATTTTTTAAAACTATGGATACTTATACCTTAAAACTTCTCTTCCTAAAAAAAGTAGATTTTATGATCTATTACAAATTACACATTTTTCACTTAGAACTTGACTAAAATACAGTCTACTTGTGTTTTTTAGTTCCTTCCCATTTTAATAAATGTAACTTGGGATGTGTGTGGTAGCTGTTGTGTCACAGTATAATTTTTTTCCTCATGAAGGTGAATGAAGGCCATGAAGAGCCTGAAGGGACCTCAGAGGAGGTCTCCACTGACTGCCTGGCTTCTGAGAAGGGGCTCACAAGCAATGGGCCACAAGAATACTGTGAAAAACTACCGATCACCAAGCCTAACAATGCCTATGAATTTGGTCAGGTTATAAACGCCATCAGTAGTAGGAAAGATCAAGAGGCTTGTGCACACCTTTTAGCCATCACTGAACCAAAAGATATGCCAATGTTGTTGAGTAACAAACTTGAAGGGGATACATTTCTCCTCCTCATTCAGTCTCTGAAAAATAATCTTATTGATACAAATCCCTCATTGGTGTATCAGCATCTATTACATCTGAGTAAAGCAGAAAGGTTTAAGGTAAGTGCCAAAATAGCTTATTAATATTGCTTTGTTTTAGGGTTTCTGTAACTTTAAAATGTCAATTTTTTATGCTAATATAATTTTTCTCTATCTTTCAGATGATGTTGACACTAATTAGCAAGGGCCAAAAGGAGCAAATTGAAGAGCTCTTTGACGACCTCACAGACACACCAAATAAACATTTTACTTTAGAAGATGTGCAGGCTCTAAAGAGGCAGTATGAGCTTTAAATCAAGATGATGGTTAGATTTCTTCCATGCATGTATATGTTCCAGTAATGCTAATGAAATGGTATTCTAATAGAGTTGCATGGATAAAACGTGGCTTAGAAAAGATCCGTTGGTCTGGACTATGAAATATTTTGCTTATTTTTATACATAGAACATGTATATTCTACAATCTACTTTTTATTAATTGTAAATATTTTCTTATGCACCAGAGCTAACATCTTGATATTTAATAATAAGTATATTTGGAACTTGTTAAAATGCATTTTAATTTATATTATACATTTTCTTTTAATAGCTCAGTTGTTAAAAATTTGAATTAAATTACATTTCTTTGGGTTATGAAGGAGTCTTCTTAAGTTTGATAGAAATGTATTTCTTTAACATTCATTTTTAAAAGTGAAAATCATTAACAATGATTACTATATCACCTTTATTTCCTGCTAAGATATATATAAATCCCATTTTATACTACTGTGGATTACATTCCACTAAGATGAAATGCAACACATAAATCTATAATATGAAATGATTCTTAAATAAATTGTGATTATTAATTTAGAACTATAAGAGGAACTTATTTTTTCTAATGTGGAAGCATTGCCTAATAATTAACAAAAGTTTCTACCACTTTTTACTAGATTTTAAAAAGCTACTTTCTCTTATATATTGCTTATGTAAGCAGTAACAAAACCACCACTATATAAAAGCAAACTGAGGCTGCATTTCTATTTGAATTGTCACCTCCACATTTTTTTCAAACATTTAAATGTCTTCTCCCTCCCAGCTTTTTTCCCCGTGTAAGCATGACCATATTTATTCCCTTAATGTAAAAGGGAAAGTGAAGACCTCTTAACACACTGAAAGCTCCTTGGCTAACTGAGTCCAAGGAAAGGTATTTCTTACAATAAAACATTCTCTATCACTGTACTGTCATTTATTCCTGTAGTCTTTAGTCTTTAGTCAATTTTTTTTCTGGAGCATTTTCTTGTTCTTTAGAAGTGAAGATGAAAGATGAATATTATTTAATCTTTTTAAATTACAGACTATTCTAAAAAGCATTGTAGGTAAATGGTAACTTTCAAACTGCCATTTTTCTTTTAAGCTGTTCTTTCCTTTATTCATAAATGAAAAATCTACTGTAATGGGTATTTAACTCTAGTCTTCAAGCAAACAGTTTTCTCTTTTTTGATGGTATTGAATTTTTGTAAAAGTAAATAATAGAGTGTTAGTAACTTCACAGTAGAGACATAAAGAGGAAACGTTCTCTTTTGTTAACAGTTAAATACACAAGACCTAGCTAGCTGCGCGGGGCTGAGCTCTCCCGTGGCAGCACCCTCCCCCTCAGAGGAGGTGGAAAGCGGTGAGTGAGTGCCAGGCTCTCCCAGTTGTGTGGGCTGTGGCTGGAGAAACCCATTTCTCTCTAGCAGCACCCAGAGTGCTGAGGCAGGACCTCCATGACTGCTGAGGGGAAGGACGAGAAAGGGAAGGAAGCAGATAAGAATACCAAAGGGCATTAAAAGAATGCCGTTCCTGCTGACAGCTTCAGGACTTCAGCGGGAAGTCTGCCAAGTCTCTGGGAGTATCCCACTCGAGGATCTCCCCACTGGGTCCAAGGGCACCCTTGATGCCCCGAGGGCTAAACCCACACCTCCTCCTACTTGTGTGTCCGGATCATTGTGCATGCCCCTGGGTGCGGCAGCGAGAGAAGGTCCGCTAATCAGAGTGCTCTCAGAAAAACAGACCAGGGTCTATGGGCAAGGAGAAACCACGAACTGGAGCTATAGCACCACCTTCTGGAAAACAAAAGAAAGGTTTCTAGCAGCCAGCCTGGTGAGTTTTAAGAAGAAAGGATGTAAAAGGTTAAGAATTCTGCCACAAGATTTATAGTGCTTACACAGAGCAAGAGGAATGCCCAGTCCTGCCTGTGAGAGGGTTAGGAAAGGTTTTAAGGGGATAATTTTGTAGCTTGAGAGAAAAGGACAATACCAGGCGGAGGAAACAGGAGATGCAAAGGCATCAAGATGCATGTTGAAGGTGCATGTTGAATCAAAGTGTGAAATAACTGGGCATGTTCAGGGAACTGCATGTAATCTTAACATTAATGGAGCATAAAGTTTGTGTGATAAGCCTGAAGGAATAATAGTTGGATAGAATAGACAGCTATATGCTGCATATAAAATGGTTTTAATTATACAGGTTCCTTTGTGAGTCAGGCATTACCACTCTTGGTAATACTTGGTTTTCTTCCCCTTCTGGGCGTATGTAAGGCTGTACTTTTCAGCCTCTTTGTGATGGGATACGACCATGTGACCAGTTCTGCCAACAGGGTAGAGATGGAAGTGATGTGTCACTTCTGGGCCAAAGTACGCAAGAGCTGACACAGAGCCCTCCACCATCTTTCCCTTGCTGCAGTGACTGAGAAGGCCTCATGTTCCAGTTAGCAGGTTACAAGATGATGACACCTTCATCAGCCTGGTTTTTTTTTTTTTTTCCTGAAGAAGATTCACCCTGAGCTAACATCTGTTGCCAGTCTTCCTATATTTTTTTTTGTTTGTTTGAGGAAGATTAGCCCTGAGCTAACATCTGTGCCAATCTTCCTCTCTTTTGTATGTGGGTTGCCGCCACAGCATGGCTGATGAGTGGTTGGTCTGCACATGGGATCCGAACCTGCACACCCGGGCCACCGAAGTGGAGCTCGCTGAACCCAACCACTATGCCACGGGGCTGGCCCCCCGCCTGGTTCTTTTAGTGTTGATCTGAAGCACAGTCCTGCCAATCTTCATTGAACAGGTAGCATGAACAAGAAATAAGCTTTTTTGTGTAAAGCCACTGAGATTTTGGATCGTTTGTAATTGTATCCAAACAACCTCTCACAGTCTGTTTCTGTATCTCTTCTGTTGCAAGCCCTTAAATCTTTCCTGAGCTCCCGACCTGTAAAAACAACTTCAAACTGTTCATCTCCACATGGGTGTCTCATAGACACTTCAAATGTAATATGCCCCAAACTGAACTCTCTGTTCCCTCAAAATCAGGCTTCATTTATTCCATATCTCGTGGAAAGGTACCAGCACTCATGTACTGGCCTAAGACAGAAACCTTGGCTTCATCCCAGTCTTTTTCTTGCTCTCTCAAACTCTACATCCAGTATTTCATCCAGGCACACAGTTTCATTACCCAAATATGGCACACTCAACATTGCCTGTTTTTGTACAGGACGTTTTTATGCTCCAAATGGTCTCTCTGCCCTCTTCCCTCTAAAAAACCACAAGGCTAATTCTTAGTCATCCTTTAAATCCAGTTCAAATGTCACCACCCGGAGGCTTTTCCTCACTTGCCTTGGCTGAGTTAAGTGATCTTTGTTTTCTCACAGTGCCATGTGCATAGCTCTACCATAGCTCTAAGTGTTAAGTGTTTTGAGTTGACTTGTCTGTGACAGAAAATGTCTAGTTTAGTTCTGTTCCCCATATTGCTCAGCAAAATACCTGACACAAAAGAGATTCAATAAATTTTCATTTGATGAATGAGAAGCATTACTAACTTTATATTTTGGGGTACATATATTACTTAATGTATTTCAATAGAATGTTAGCATTTGTTTTATCTAATGGGTTGCTGTAAATCATGCATCCAGAAGTAGAAAAATCTCAGAGTAATTCTATATAGGGTGAGGGTGATTTACCATCAAAGCTTAAACTCATGCCTTAGGGATGTTATAAAGCAGTTTCTAGACATAAGATTGAAAGACAAAATATTAAAACAGAAAAGGAGGGAAAAAAACCAAAGGCTCTTAAGTTAAAACTGTATGTGACAGTACTTACTAGGTGTATAACACTCAAGTAAATCACAATCACTGGGCTTAAGTTTGCATATTTTTAAATGATTAGTAAATATCATCTGGGCTGACATTGTTGTGAAATAACATGAAAATACCTTCTAAGCTATATACAATATAGGAGACTATCACTATTTCTGGTTCATGGACATTATGAAGGCTCCCTGTGAACAGATCCTGAATCTGGGGTTCCACATCTCCTAACTATGGACCACCAATTAATGTCCAGTCTCTGCAGTTGTTACCACATGATCCTATGGTCCACTACCCTGGTCACCCTCAGCCTCTTAAACTTAACTGAAATAATTGAGGCCATCCCATATGCCTGCTCCAATCAGCTTCCCTTCTGTTTGACTTATCACCAAATTTTCCCCGCTCCATCTCTCCCAGAAAATAGTCTTCCCTTTCCTTTCTAATGTGGATACATGATCCTATCCACTTTTCAAGGACTTGCCTCCAAGAATAATACCTTCTCTTTTGCATCTGTAATATGTCCTTCTCTATTGCTGCCTTCCTCTCAGCCTACAAACCTACTCAACTCTTCCCCACGTAAAGTCCCTGCAAGCTTCCATCCTTTCCTATACCGTCATACAGTTATGGACTGCATAATAACATTTCAGTCAATGATGGACCATATATACAACAGTGGTCCCATAAGATTAGTACCATATAGCCTAGGTGTGTAGTAGACTATACCATCTAGGTTTGTGTAAGTACACTCTATGACATTCAGACAATGACAAAATCACCTAACGATGCATTTCTCAGAACACAGCCCCATCAAGTGACACATAACTGTATTTTCTTTTCTATTTTTTTTTTTTGGCTGAGGAAGATTAGCCCTGAGCTAACATCTGTGCCAATCTTCCTCTACTTTTTATATCTGGGTCACCACCACAGCGTGGCTGATGAGTGGTGTAGGTCCGTGCCTGGGATCCGAACCTGCGAATCTGGGCCTCTGAAGCAGAACGTGCCAAACTTAACCACTACGCCATGGGGCTGGCCCCTGTATTTTCAAAAATAGATAACTTTCTCCATTTTTCCCACCTGCAAAATTTCCTTTTGAAAGCAATTTGGCTTCTACCTCCCGTCACTATTGAAACTGCTCTCAACAACCTTGATCAAATACAGAACCCTTTTCTTAGTCATAGAATTGGGTTCCATTGTAGCCTGAAGAGATTTTTTTAGAGATCATCTCATCTAAATCTAATCCCTTTATTTGTATCAAAGCCCAAATAACATGAGAATTATTGCGTAGTGTGAAATGCTGAGAAACTGTGACTGTTGGTTTTGCCCTTTTGCTGAGATTTGTGGGCAAAGGAGGTGAAATTTGGAAGGTCAAGAAGCAAAGCCTTAGGGCAGCTACAACATTGAATCTAAAGTGGCTATTTCTGAATTCTGAGCGATAATCTATCTAGGCAAATTGAGAGTGTATCTCGTTCATAAACAAGATCTCAAAATGCAAAGGGTTCTACAAGTTGACACT